AAATTATCCTCAGCCTAAATGCTAGACTCTTCCGGTAATTTCCCCAGTCGGTCCGCCGTAGGTTTCTGCTCCACTCAGTCGCTTCTTCAAAAAGAACGGACATTCTTATGGTTCTATGATCCGAGGCCGAGAGGTCCTTTGAGACCCTCCAGTCTCCAACCTAGCCAGCCACATCATCCGTTGCCAGAGTTATGTCTAGTACTTCCTGTCACCTACGGTCCATGAAAGTTGGTTCTGTCCCCCTATTTAAAATATGGAGCCCTGCCCCCATGATGAACTCTTGGAGACTCTCTCCCCTGTTGTTGCAACCGGCGCTCTCCCATGCAGCATGATGGGAGTTCGCATCACAGCCCAACAGGAGTTGAACCCCCCTCCTTTTCACATGGTTGCACAGCCCCGTTACTTCATGCGGTGGGGGTAGCTCTGTTGAGTTATAGGGCATGTAAGCCGACCCTACTATTATATCCATAACCCTGCCTTATCCCAGGTTTAACTTTACTTGAGCCGCAGTTAGATCTCCCCCGCTGAACCGTGGACAGAGAAACGAATCTAATCCTTTAATAATTAGGCAGGTTCTCAATTTTTCTGGTGTATCGGCATGATATACCTTGCCACAACCAGTCAGTGCCTTAATAGCATTGTTGATTATCCAAGGTTCTTGGATCAATGCTATAACTGTCTGCATCCCAGCTAGAAGCTTGACTAGTATCGCCGAAGCCGCCTTACTGTGATGCAAGTTGATCTATACGATCTGTACCCGATTCATAGCTATGATAGCTATTTCTCTGATACTTCAGTCGTACCCGTCTTCTTTACCTCACTGCGGTCTCTCCCCAGCTCCCTTACGGTAGCCTTTTGGAGCCCACAGTGAGGTCTGAAGTTGCATGCCTTCAGTCCAGCAAGCGACCCGTCATCGACCAGCGCAGCGAAGTGGGCACTTTTGGCNCCTCACTGCGGTCTCTCCCCAGCTCCCTTACGGTAGCCTTTTGGAGCCCACAGTGAGGTCTGAAGTTGCATGCCTTCAGTCCAGCAAGCGACCCGTCATCGACCAGCGCAGCGAAGTGGGCACTCTTGGCGCCCCTAGATTCGCTGCCCCGAACGACGACCCACTTACTGGCCTTCAGGCCTGCATTTTGCTTCTCAAGAAAACTCAATGCTTCCTGAGAAGTAATTTCCGGGTCCTCCACGTGTATCACCACTCGATGCTTCTTAGGAAGCTTCGAGAGCACCACAACGCGGATGGTGTGCCCCGCTATTTTATTCTCAGGGAACAGACTCTTTAGCCAGCTCCCTGTGGCCTCGTCTGTGCAGTTCACCACAACCGCACTGTCCCTCTCCCAGACCCCGTCGAAGGTGGGTGCTTTGTCTCCGTCTGGTAAAGCCAATATGGCCCCCTTCAGGAGCTTCTTCACCTCTGTCACCCCCCCGGTATCCAACAATTCGAAATCCGTGTGAAATATCTTGTCTAGGCTGATTCAATTTCAGCAAAGTTTGTGAAAGGATCTAATCGCAATTAATTATTCTTGTTGGGAGATTATTCTCTTCTCCCCACAGTTAAAATCAAAATAAACACTAATCGAGAACATTGGCAAAACATGAAAAATATCTCTAACCTATTTTCGCCCGGCAATTCCTTTTCTTCGGATATCGTACGTGATGAAAAAAATGAGAAAATAGAGTAACACATGTGACATGTAATCATGGGAAATATGTCTAGATAGAGATGCTGGCTTATTCTGGAATGAACATGCTCTCGTTGATTTGATATTCGATCTCGAGGCAGCATATGGAGACGCTTCTGTAATATGTTCATGATGAAAGAAAGATGAAGGTGATGGTTTGATATTGATTTGAGGTTATTGCAATTCATCTGCAAAATATGTTCTCGTCCAGAGCAATATATATATTTTTTTTCCATTTTGTAACGACAAACCGGCGAGGACTGAATGCTGGAAGTGAGATGAGGGGGAATCTATTGTATTCCCACAGAAAATTAATCCCTTAATAAAAAATTCTGTCCCCTCCAATTAAATATTTAGGCCACATATGAAGTTTTCTATGGCAAAATAATGTTATGTCATTAAGCCCGACAAACCGCGATTCTAACCTCGCTTCGGACTCAATGACATAAATACTATTTTTCATCAGTATTCAATTTTTTCCTACATTGTACATGCATTAAAACATTTTTATATTCAATTTTAATAATAAATGAAAAATATTGAATTTGTGAAAAAGAAGTGGCAACGCCGGCCCAGCATGATATTTTTTTTCTCAGAGTTGGTAAGCCTGTCACACTCTCTTCAGGGTTTTCGCTGTACATAGTCACGCGCATAAACATGTGTAAATCTTTTCCCACGTAATTCTAATTTTCTATCCATGAGAAAAATCATTGTAAATGAGCCCCCGGGCCTCTCTGAAGTAACCTCAAACCGAGATCACTTTAGATCCACAACTTTCTTTCATACACGTTTAAATTTACCGCGTTTATCCCCACCCCATCGGCAGGTGCTACGTTGTCGCAGTTCATAGCTGCGCGCACGGAAATTATGATTTTTAGTGTTTTGTTCTCAATTTTGACCAAAAAATGTTCTGAACCGATGTAACTTTTCGTGCAGAAGGTGTATTTATTAATATATCAGACGTGGACGAAATTTTGTGACATCATTTGCATTTTCACGTTCATGATGTGAATTTTTCTACATTTGCCATTAGAACACAGGTTGAATTGCGTTATCGAATAATTTATTTCATTTGAACCATTCTCTTCAGCAATCTGAAACTGCATATAGGGCTTCAGAATATATTGAAAAATGTACTTAAAAAATTTCATAAAATTGGTTGCATTTTATTACCTCGCCGTTTCGTCCTTCGTGAAAGAAAAATTAAAATATCCAATGATTAAATTCTGTCATAAAAATAGCAAATTATCAGCAATCCATTGATTAAGTTGCCATGCGATGATGTAACGAGTATTTCTATCCAATTATTCCATAATTAATCCAATTTACTTGGACAACAAAAATAAAACTAAAACGATAAAATTGACTTTAATTGAATGAGATAGAATAGAAATTTCATTATAACTCATCGTTGGAGGTGAAAAAAATGAGAAAATCCTTGGGATTTCTTCTTCGTCTCTTGCATTCCTTTTTCTCTCAACCTGAGTCATAACTTCTGGTCGAAAATCTCTCGAGAGCGGAGGAGAAACGAGTGGAGTGGGGCTTCGAACCCGTAGTACGACGTGCCCAGCATCTCGAATCTCGAACTAATAGGATTACCAATTCTACGCGGGCTTGTGCCGTGCAAAAAAGCGCAGGAAATTGTTCAACTTTCATCGCCAAATGAAACCCAATTTTTTTTTACTCATTCTATTAGGGGATAATGGGAGGCGGGCTAAATAGGACCTAAAATAATGAGGGTTAGAATTGAATAATTTCTCAATTTTTTCTTCAATTGTGGACTATTGAGGATTTTTTTTGCAAAAAATGACCCTACATGTAATCACATGTTTTTATTTTCAAACCTTATGCACCGCCTCCGTTGCATAACGTTTACAAATTCAATAATGATGTTTGAATCTCATACCACAACTCTCCGTAATTTTTTACTCTTATGCGAAATTACAAGAACAATTTCCTCAATTCTGATTTTGACCAATCAGAACGCGGTATTCGGGGTCACGTGACAGGTTTCACACTGATAATTTTCCTGGCTGCAGGCAAATTATCAGACTGATAATTTCCCTGTAGCCTGTCAATAGTTTTCTACGAATTTGACAGATATTCCTCCCATTTTGGTGAAATGTGTCCCGTAATCCCGCACACCGCACCCTGATCGGCCAAAATCAGAATTGAAGAAATTGCCTTCCGAATAGACCTCGACTTTCAAAATTCATCAGATATTTCCCTCAAGTTTTCGTGCATATCAACGATCGGCATCAGTTTTGCAATAAAATCCATCGCGCTGCGCGCTTGGGATTTTAATCTGCAAAACTGATCTCTCTCGTTGCTATGCAACAAAACAGTCGGGAAATATTCAATAATTTTGAAGGTCTTAGGGTATTATAGCTGATCAGACCTCATAAGAGTTGACTTTGAAGCGACTATATGAGCGTTAGACCTTCCAAGGATCGCACGTATGAAAAAATCGTATAGAAATTTTCCATACGGATTGCGTACAGAATTTCTATAGGATTTTCGTATATGATATTCGGATATTTCTATACGGATATTTTTTATACAAATTATTTCTATATGATTTCTGTAGGTTTGATCCTATATAACCCACTGCCACATGTTTAGAACCATTTCGTACGGAGTTGCGACATTTCTCGACGTTTTTGTCTGGAGCGTCTAGACATCTTTCGTATGAAAACAAAAATTTATGTAGAAATTTATGTATAGAAATAATTCGTATACAAAATACTCATATAGAAATATCCGAATATCATATACGGAAACCCTATAGAATTTCTATACGCAATCCGTATAGAAAATTTCTATAGGGTTTTGTCATGTGTCAGCCCTTAAGCGTCATCTTATAAGGGTCTTACCATGTAAGATAGCATAAGGGTTGACCCTTGTAAAATCTAACTCTTATGTGACTGCATTAGAATTTTCCATTGTGAGGTCTGATCCTTATTGTAAGGTCGCATAAGGGTCGAGAATTACGGAGAGGGGTTGTCATCGTATAAGATTCAAATACCAATATTAATATCATCTTATGAAGGTTGAACTTATAAGGTTCAACCTTTATGCGACGTTATAAGTATTACATTTAACCTCTCTGCAGAGTTTTTCCCCTCTTTTCATTTTCGATCCTCACCTGACCCTTGGATGACCTGCATAAGGGTTACTTGACATCATGATGTGACCATTAATTGATTTTGCAATTCTCTGTTAACACAATGATCATTTACTGGACCAGTTCTTTGGAGTGAATCTACCAACCGAATAAATATTGAGAACAAGTTTTTATTTTAGAACTTTTTCTTTTAGGAGGAGTTGGATGATCGACCCAGTGTCGCGACAATCCTCTCCAACTTGGCGGACTACAGTAATACGATTCCGCCACCAACGGATCCGGACAGCAAGACAGCACCACCAGCACCCGGAGGTGCCCGTATGGGCACACTGGTTGGTGTCTTCTTACCCTGCATTCAAAATATCTTCGGTGTCATCCTCTTCATCCGTCTCACGTGGGTCGTAGGCACTGCTGGTGCGATTCAAGGATTTCTCATCGTCTTATGTTGCTGTTGTGTTGTAAGTCAATATTTTTATTCTACTAATACATCTCATACGATTCTAAGGTGACGTTATGATAGTATTAAACAGCATTCTATTTCTTACTAAATTTTCCTCTCGCTCTTTCCAGTTCCTGTAAATTTATACAAATTTATGATGAACACAATCTCCCATGAGTACCCCCTAACGCCGTGTAATTTTTCTCATCACAAACTTCGAACGAAAAAATTAAAAGTTCCTCTCGCCTTTTTTTAACATGAAAAGGCCACAATTTGCACTTTCAGACTTCAATTACTAGAGCCAGAGTTTTAGATTTTTTAATCTGAAATTTTCAGATTCATGTTGAACCGTAAATCCTCCCCCCCCCCCGCCTCCCGGTTTCTATAAGCCATCCACTTTTCTTCTTCACAAAGTTGGAAAATTGATGCAAATGTATGGATTATCACTCTCCAACTTTTTTTCCAAAGTTTTGGTATTAAAATTTTGAGAAACGCCTCGAATTCTGCTGCCATCAATGATGAGAAATTCAGGTCATTTCAGATCATCACATCATCAGATTAGAATGGAATACTATTTCCGTATGATAGTCATTCCCAATTTTACGGTTATTACGACTCTTCCCAAGTTTCCATCAACTCCATCAAAATTCGCCAATTCAGAACTTCGAAAATCACGTTTAAACTTCTTTCCCAGACTATGCTAACAGCAATTAGCATGAGTGCGATTGCAACGAATGGAGTCGTGCCTGCGGGTGGATCTTACTTCATGATATCGAGAAGTCTTGGTCCAGAGTTTGGCGGTGCAGTTGGAATGTTATTCTACACAGGCACAACTCTGGCAGCTGCCATGTACATCATCGGTGCAGTTGAGATTGTTCTGGTAAGTTTCCCAATTTCAAACATTGACACGAGCTCATATTCCTAATAACTTAGCATGTTTTTAACTTTTAAAAGACATACATGGCACCAAACCTTAGTATCTTCGGTGACCCTAACTCGGATCCAACGGTAATGGAGAATAACTTTCGAGTTTACGGTACGGGTTTGCTGATGGTGATGGGCACTGTTGTCTTCATCGGAGTTAAATTTGTCAACAAATTTGCTGGTGTCGCTCTTGCCTGCGTTATATTCTCCATTATTTCTGTCTACGTTGGGCTTTTCACAAATATCAATGGAAACGACGCACTTAAGTAAGTCATCTTCTGGTTATATCATGTTAAGGATATCGTACGGTTATAGAAATTCGATGTCTTATTTTGATCTGAACTATGCAAATAGTTTCAATGAGACCAACAAAAATTGTTCGTTGGGTCAATCTTGGTCAGGTTGGCTGGAACTTCAATTCTGATCACCTTACTCAAAAAATCACTAGTTTGCCTTCAGCAGCTGATCAACAGTCGCGCGATTTATTTAGCATATGGACCATTCCAGCTTCCTTAATTTTGAATTTATCAATTAAGGGCGAAGATATGACGATCTGAGTTCACAATACTAACTTTTCCCCGGTCATTGTCATTCAAAGAATAACCAACATTTGAGTTGACTTGTAATGCTGAATGAATTGTTTGGAGGGAACTGAAGAAAATCCTCACTGAGCTCTTCAATTTCTAACCCTTCCAACAACAATCTCAGCTGACAATCAATTCTAATCACTTCCTGGTATTGTTCCAATAGAATGTGTGTACTCGGTAAACGTCTTCTGAGAAACGTTTCCGTGAATGAGTGTGGAAAGAACTACAGCACAACGCACGATCTATTTTGCAATAGCACTTCAGGAACGTGCGATGAATACTACAGAACTCATGACTTAGAAATCGTGAAAGGAATCAAAGGACTTGCAAGCGGTGTTTTTCTAGGTGAGTTTCATTCCAAGTGTAGATCCTCAAAAAAATGATGCATAGTCTGATGATTCCAACTGATGTAAATTTTCAGAAAATCTTGCTGGAAGATTTCAAACCTTGGGGCAGTATATCGCTTACGGAGAAGACCCTGTTGACATTGACAAAATAACTAAACCAATAGCCCCTTATATTACGAATGACCTGACAACCGCATTTACTATTCTTATTGGGATATTCTTCCCATCTGTAACTGGTTCGTATAGTTCACAGTCTTGCCCTAATTTCGAGAAGATCCTTAAGTCTGATCTAATGTTGACGACTTTTATCCTCAGGTATTATGGCTGGCTCCAACCGTTCCGGCGACCTCGCAGACGCCCAGAAGTCCATCCCCATCGGTACAATTTGCGCGATCTTGACGACCTCGACAGTTTACCTCTCTTCAGTCTTGCTATTCGCTGGCACAGTGGACAACCTCCTCCTCCGCGACAAGTTCGGTCAAAGCATAGGAGGAAAACTCGTCGTAGCGAACATCGCCTGGCCGAATCAATGGGTCATCCTCATCGGCTCCTTCCTGTCAACTCTTGGCGCAGGTCTCCAGTCCCTCACAGGAGCCCCACGTCTCCTCCAAGCTATCGCCAAGGACGGCATCATTCCGTTTCTCTCGCCCTTCGCCAAGTCCTCGAGTCGAGGAGAGCCGACTCGAGCCTTGATCCTCACGATTCTTATCTGCCAGTGTGGAATCCTCCTCGGAAATGTTGATTACCTGGCTCCCCTTCTCTCGATGTTCTTTCTCATGTGCTACGGCTTCGTCAACCTCGCTTGCGCTCTTCAGACCCTCCTGAAAACCCCGAACTGGCGTCCCAGATTTAAGTACTATCACTGGAGTCTCTCCTTCATCGGGCTCTCCCTCTGCATCGCCATCATGTTCATGACCAGCTGGTACTATGCTCTCCTCGCTATGGGCATGGCAGGCATCATCTACAAGTACATCGAGTTTCGTGGAGCTGAGAAGGAGTGGGGTGATGGTATCAGGGGTCTAGCGCTATCAGCAGCGAGGTACTCTCTACTGAAGCTCGAAGAAGGTCCACCTCACACAAAGAACTGGAGACCACAGATCTTGATGCTGGTCAAGTTGACTGATGGTCTTGTACCGAAATATAGGAAGATGTTCGCATTCGCCAGTCAGCTTAAGGCTGGCAGAGGACTCACAGTCTGCGTCAGCTGTATCCAAGGAGACTTTACCAAGAATTCGGGAGAGGCTTTCGCTGCTAAGCAGAGTCTCAGGAAGATCGCGGATGAGGAGAAGGTCAAGGGATTTGTGGATGTACTCGTGGTTAGGGATGTTGTTGATGGACTCAGTTCGTTGATCCAGACGACTGGATTAGGCGGGATGAAGCCGAATACTGTGATTCTGGGATGGCCTTATGGATGGAGGCAGTCAGAGGACGAGAACTGGAGGACATTCTTGCAGACTGTGAGAAATGTCACCACTTCGAGAATGGCTGTTCTGGTGCCTAAAGGGATCAACTTCTTCCCGGATTCGACTGAGAAAGTGGTTGGATTTATCGATGTCTGGTGGATCGTACATGACGGAGGATTGCTCATGTTGCTACCATTCTTGCTGCGGCAGCACAGGACCTGGAGCAAATGCAAGATGAGGATCTTCACGGTTGCACAGATGGAGGATAACTCGATTCAGATGAAGAAGGATCTCAAGAAGCTGCTTTATAATTTGAGGATCGAGGGAGAGATTGAAATTGTCGAAATGGTAATGGGTGAAAATGTCTTATGATCAAAATTGTCCTTTATGAAGAACTTTATGATCAAAATTGGCCCTTATGAAAAACCCTGACGATGAACTTATTTGTTTCGATGATTGCAGATGAACTCTGATATTTCGGCATACACTTATGAGAGAACTTTGGTAATGGAACAGAGGAATCAGATGCTTCGTGAATTGCGATTAAATCCGCAACAGTCGCTCGGATTGGTGAGAATTTAATTTAATTCTTAAAAGATTAAACAATTTTCAATCGAAAAATTTCGATACCATTGAGACTGAGAAGACAAAAAAGTGTTTTCAATGATTGGATATTGAAATGTATCAATTGATAATTCCAACACGAATAAAATAAATTATACGATTATTATATTGAATGAACAAATAGAAATAATAATGATAAACATGAAGATAATAATGCAACATGGATACTGATGGGAAATGTGTCTCTTTGTTGCGTGCTCGTCACGGATAAGGTGCAGACATTGGACTTCGACAAGGTACTCAACGAGGAAATGTTACCCGTGGTTTGTCAGATAGAATCCGAAGCTCCATGTCTGACCCAACTCCCTCCAAAAATCCCCCCTCCCTCTCTCACATGAACGCACACATACAGAAAGTCAAAAGAATAATTTTATTAGTTTACTTCATTGACAATCCTCATACGTGTGCCGTATTGTCTTTCGTGTTTAATTGAATCATACTAAAAAACATCATAAAACCATCGAGGACTGGTTTTCGTCGACACCATTCGAGGAAATCCACTATGAAACCATTCACGTACCCTTAAATAACAGTGCATTCTGTCAGTTGAAAAAAAAATAATTTTTTTTACAAAAAAAAATATATGCAATGCACTGTAATCAGAGGTGAAATATTCTAGGAAGGGAATAAAATTATCCGACTACAAAAAAGTGAATTGGATCTTCCTGAGGCGCTATGCACATTCGAATTAAGTGACACCGTGATTACGAAATGTAAACGATTACACATGATGACGGCTTCCATTACAGAGATTAATAATTACAATTATGTGCAATCGCCTGACAAAAAAATTGATTACATGACCAGACGTGATTTTTCCAGGATGGGGTCATACAGCAAAATATGTCAGATGAAAGTTGTAGGGTATGGAGGGGGACACTCGGTACAGATGGAATTTATGCTCCTGTTATTCATGTTTTTATGTTGCAAGCATGAAGTCAGCTTTTTAAACGGCAACATAATTTTTGGCCCCATGAAAGTTGTGCACAGTTTTTTCATCAATTTTCTATGACATATCGCACGGAAATAAACCAAAATGAAATCATTTTGATTTAGGCTTCCGTACCATGTCTGAGTGCTAGGATATTGTTTTCTTACTAATAGATCAATTCATGAAGTGAACACAAGTGGCCTCTAACTATGCAAACAAGAATTGTTTCCGTAGCGGATGACTATTCATTTTTCATCAGTTTGACAATCGTCTTTTCCCCAATCTTTGGCTGTGGTTTTGTGCAGTGGTCGCCTCGACCTCCTCATCTCACACCACTCGATTTTTATTTATGGGGTTATGTTAAGGATATAGTTTACACCAATCGTCTAACAACACCTGCAGACCTGCAGCGACGCATCAGAAATGCCATATTGCAAACATCCCACCCACAGTTCTTCAGTCTTTTCTTGGAAACTTTCGACGTCGGTTGGGTCTGTGCCTCGCTGTGAATCGCAGCAATGTCGAATATCTCTTGCAATGACTGTTGCCTACAACTACACGATCACATATGTGCAACTCATGGAACAGAACCTGTAGGAGCGTTTAAATAAAGATGATCCTATTGTGGTGTATTTCCGTGCGATATTTCATAGAATATCGATGAAAAAATAAAAAATAAAAAAAAGGATATGGGTGGATTCGCCTCAACTAGATGCACAAATTTCAGGCGGTCAAAAATTGTCGCCATTTGATAAAACTGATTGCATGCTTGCAGCATAAAAACATAAATTCCATCTGCCCCTCTCCATACCCTACAACTTTCATCTGACATGTTTTACTGTATGACCCCTCCCTGGAGAAATTTTCAACTGCCCTGTTTCAAATGGGAAACCTTGCATATTCTCTTCCACACGGAGAGAAATATTCAGTAAAAATTACGAAACAATTCACGTAATCCGCAATGAGGAATCGTTTCCCAGCAATTTTTATAGGAATGGAAGAAAAGAAATCTGAAACGTTCATTGAATTTTCAGGGTCATCACCGAAGAAAGTACGAAATTATTACGTATTTTTTCCCGAAGAAGTAAAGTCTTACAAAAACTTTCCGATTTATTATGCCCTCAAAATGAAAAATTCTTGAACGTTCAACAATGTTGACGAAGCTGGTGAGTTATTTCTACGTTCCGTTCCGTAAAATTTCTCAATCGTTGGGGAAAAATTACGGAACGACTTGTTGTGCCCACAGCGGAACAATTGTAGAATTTACTACCATTTGTTCTGACTCAGTTCTGACTCACACTTTTTATTGAATTTTACTTCGCTTGCGGATTACGTTTCGAAACGTAATTCTTACATTTTTTTCCGGTAATTTTTATTAAATTTTTCTCTCTGTGTAATCATTTTAATCGCTGTAATCAACATGATGATCACGAGGAGAATACGATGTAAATATTTATACTGATCAAGCTTTGCAGCCAGAATTTTTCAAAAATCGATCGACAGGGCTGAATAAATTCCAGAGAATGTCACGAACCTTTTGATCAACAACTGTTGTGATGTTGGATTTCTAAGCCTCCTGAGTCTATCATCTCAATCATCTATACTTATGTCACGTAGCGTACACGATCGCACCATCGGACTAGTCATTCAAAACGTGAAATAAGTAACTGTTCGGCTCGAACCTTCTGTTTAACCTTTACGTTAAATACTTAACTTCGTGTTATACTTGACCTCTAAACTTGACACCTGACTCTTACGGTATTTCTACCATAATTATGGCACACTTGACTAATTCGCAGAAATTTCGGCTTCGAAGAACAATACTTAAAAGCATGATTGAATAAATTTCAAATAATTAGATCCTGATTACACAAACTGATCACAAAGAAATATGATCATATGATTTCAGTGATCACAATGACTTCATTAATTTCCAGGGAGTGACACCACGATTCCGAATGTGAATAGCTCCTCAGATATCCGTCTAAAATACCAAGTGGATCTCTTTTACCTCCCGAAACATATTTTCCCGCTTAGTTGGCACGTTCATTTCGCCAGCTTGAATTGATTAATGTACTTGGCCATCATAGAGCTTTAATTTAGCCTAGAAAGATGTTTCTAAAACAAGCCATGAATCTAACGTTCAACCCTCTAAGGTGAATTTTAATATCCCCACTCTACGGCCTTGAAAGCGAAATGCCAGCTTCCCCACTCGAGCGCCCTACGACGCTTTACTACGCTTCTCACCTTAGAGGGTTAATGAAACAAAACACTCATTTGAAAATTTCTCATCAGGTGCAAGCGGTTGTCGATCATCATCACAATATAGATGTAAAGACAGCGACTAAGGTGAGGTTCCAGGAGCCAGGGTATCAGGCGAATGGTATTGACGAGGCACAGGAGAAGCTTGTGCAGGAAACGACTCTCGGAAAAGAACCTGAAAGTGGTGATAATAATGAAAACAAAGAGAAGGCTAATTTTGTGGCAAAATCGGAGGAGGAAAAGCATTTGTTGTCTGGATCACCGAAAGCGGAGAACAAAGAGACGAGTGAGAAGGCCAAGGAGGCGAAGGAGAGTGCTAACGACAAGAACGAGAGCGAGAGCAGTTCTGCTCCGCAGCAGCCAATCAAACCGTAATTTTTTCGATTCTTTTGAATTGCTTTCGCTGAGTGGACTTGTTATCAATTTTTTGGGGTTTTAGGGATGAGGATGATGTACGGCGTATGCACACTGCAGTCAAACTGAACGAGGTCATTGTTAACAAGAGCCATGACGCTCAGCTGGTGATTATCAATCTTCCTGGACCACCGAAAGAAACGAAAATGGAACGTGAATCCAGTTGTAAGTATTGATTGATTAATTTGTTTATTTTAAACATGCATCTCATAGCCGTAGCTAATATTGGAATTCAATATGTGTAAAAAACTATAACAATTTGCGATCGTAACATAGATGTGGGAGCCATCAAGTGGTCCCTAAACTAACTACTTTTGGGGGCCAACCAATGAGGTCACGGAAAACCCAGTGATCTTATTGATCGACGCCTATCATTGGTTAACTCCCAGTGATTTCATTGGTTGGCCCCCAAGACTAGTTAATTTAGAACTCACTTGGTGGCTCTCACATCTACGTTGCGATCACGAATAGCAGATCTGAAATAAACGAGGAGCGGTTATACAATGTAGCGGTCGACAGATTCAAGATGGCAGTTTTATAAGCAATGCGTAACAGTATTAATCTAGTGTTTTTTTTATTCATTGCTTTTACAGTAGAATCTAGCAGTTCGCATACTGGTAAAACGCATAGGACCTAGATGTTTGCATATTTTCACTCTAGATATTCGCATATTACGAACCGCCTTCTTACCCCTTCTGTAATGAATCTCTTAACTCTGAGACGTGCGCATTACCTAATGCGCACATCTGGTATTTCAAATTCGATTCAAATTCGATGCATAGAATCATGAGAAATGTTGCAATGAATCCGAGAAACTTTGAAGCTATTGAACTATTTCCTTTAGAAATACAGAACTTTTTTCTTATAAATGGTTTTATATGAATAATAAAGTTGTCCGGAACTGAAAATTCTAAACAAATACTTTAATGATGTCTCGGAAATTCATCAAAGTTACTTTGAGGATAGGTTATTCCTGCACTCCTGAATTCTATTTTGTTGCATCACTTTCAATTTCAGTTCTACTGCACTCGTCGTCATTAGTAATGTAGTTTATGACATAATTCATTGTGATATATTATTAATAATTTTTTATGATGCCTGCCTCAAAAGTGCTCTTTTCGCATACTGAAGGGGGTGAAGAAAGTAAGTGAGGAATTATGCAGCTACATCGTGCGGAACAAAAATTATGCCAACTGCTAGGTCCTACTGTATTGATGATTGAATTGTTATCCTTCATTTCTCATATCTTGCTGAATTTCCAATTTCTGATATCTCGCTAAAAATGTAATTTTCGATGTATCCCAGATCCTTTCATTTCTTTGAGAATTCTCTAGACCCTCTGGAGAGTAGATCTCTTACATTTCCGCTCTCACTTATTATAATTATCCGAACCTCTCATTTGTTATATTTGTGACATTATCTTCAGCAAAACAACGTAAGAACAGACTATTCGGCTCGTGACAAGTAATACAGGCGTGCCAGAGTGCGACGTCAGACTAGCACTATTAATCCCTCACGTATAGAGTCGATACCGTGTATCAACCCATAAAAATGTGAATGACTCTCTTAAAAATTAATTCTGTAGTGAAGTGGTAAAACCAGGTAAGTGCATAAAATGAAATTTTACAGGAGAGCAAAAAAACGGCTATGTCATCGATAGTGGGAAATTTAGTACAAATGACGCCAAATCTTTATTCTACTGTCCTTTAACTTTTTACCCTATTATTATCAAATTGCGGAATTAATACTTTACGCAGTTTTAAGTAGTTACCTCAAGTCAAGTTGAATTAACTCGTTGGGTTATCACAAAAAAAACAGATATGTTGACTTAGCACATGAAGTATGTCAATTTCACTAGGGTACGGTCAAATGTTACGAGGGTCACTAAGAGGAGGGTCAAGCGTTACGAGGGTCACTAAAGGGAGGGTCAAGCGTCACGAGGGTCACTAAGGGGAGGGTCAAACCTCACGAGGGTCACGATGGTCAAAGGTCACGGCGGTCACTAGAGGGAGGGTCAAACGTCACGAGGGTCACTAAGGAGGAGGTCAAACGTCACGAGGGTCATTAGAGGGATAGGGTCAAACGTCACGAGGGTCACTAGGGGGAGGGTCAAACGTCACGAGGGTCCCTAAGGGGAAGGTCAAACGTCACGAGGGTCAAAAGTCACGGCGGTCACTAGAGGAAGGGTCAAACGTCATGAGGGTCACTAGGGAGAAGGTCAAACGTCACGAGGGTCACTAGGGAGGGAGTCAAACGTCACGAGGGTCATTAGGGGGGGGGTCAAACGCCACGAGGGTCACTAGGGGGAGGGTTAAACGTCACAAAAGTCGCTAGGGGCAGGGTCAAATAAGGGTCAGGAGTTGAGCCTTATCCTCTTTCCTTCAAGAGGAAATCCATAGTAGCTTTTTCTACGTTTGGGGTACTTGAAAAACTATTTTTTTTCATTTTCCCAGATTTTGTCGGTGGCCCTATATGAAGATATTTTTCTTTCTTTTTTATTTTTTTTTATTTTTTCAATAACTCAAGTTTTATCCATCCGATTTTGATATATTAAGCGTCAAAATTTTCCATTTTTACATTCTATAAGAATATTAAAATCGGATTGGTAGAACTTGAATTATTGAAAAAAGAAAAAAAACGGAAAATGAAAGAAAAAACATCTTTAAATTGGGTCACCAAAAAAATCTGGAAAAATAGAGAAAAATAGTTTTTCCAGTTTCCCAAAGAGAAAAAGCCACTATGGATTTCCTCATAAAGGAAAGAAGGTAAAGGTCAACTCCAGACCCTAATTTGACCCTCTCCCTAGCGACCCTCGTGACGTTTGACCCTCCCCCTAATGACCCTCATGACGTTTAACTCTCCCCCTAGTGAACCTCGTGACGTTTGACCCTCCCCCTAGTGACCTTCGTGACGTTTGACTCTCTCTCTAATGACCCTCATGACATTTGACCCTCCCCCTAGTGACCCTCGTAACGTTCGAGCCTCCCCCTAGTGATCCTCGTGACGTTTGACTCTCCCTCTAATGACCCTTGTGACGTTTGACGCTTCCTCTAGTGACCTTCGTGACGTTTGACCCTCCCTCTAGTGGCCGCCGTCACCTTTAACCCTCGTGACCCTCGTGAGGTTTGACCCTTCCCTTAGTGACCCTCGTGACGTTTGACCCTCCCCCTAGTGACCCTCGTGATGTTTGACGTTCCCTCTAATCACCCTCCCCTTAGTGACCCTCATAATGTCTGACGTTTGACGTTCCCTCTAATCACCTTCGTGACGTTTGACCCTCCCCCTAGTGACCTTCTTGACGTTTGACCCTCCCCCTAGTGACCTTCTTGATATTTGACCCTCCCCCGTGACGTTTGACCCTCCCCCTAGTCACCCTCGTGACGGTTGACCCTCCCCCTAGTGACCCTTATGAGATTTATTTATTAGATGGGTCATTTTGCTCCTTTTGTCATTTGTGTCCCCCTGGCCCGTTTTGCCCCCATCCTGTTTTTCAAAATAACACTTGGAATAAGGAATTGAGTTTCTATCAATACATATGGAGATAAGTGAAGTTACCTCCTCTAGGTCCTCCCAATTTTGGGAGTTATGTCAACTTACCTCCAATTGCATTGATAGAAAATTGAAACTCGCACATAACTCTTTTTTTATTTTTCATGTAACCCCATAAAATATTATTTTTAGACCAAACCTTTCCGTCAGCACTTGCAGATCAATATTACAATGTGATTGGTGCAATAAAACCAATTTCGAAAAAAATGCAGTTACCTCGTTTTATCACTTCACTACAGAATTATTTCCAAAACTATGGAAAGTAACTCAACCGAACAAATAACAACAACAAAATGAATACTGTTGCTTCAATTACATATGCACAGTAACAAATCCAGAGTGAATTTCGACTCTGAGTCCATACCAAACAGAGTAAAAATAAGTCCACACCGTTTTTCGGTATGGATATACGGAGTTAATTCACGCCGGAGGGAAATACAGCGAGTGGAATGAAAATTCACACTGCCATGGTGTCAAAATGAACATATTAATCAACACAGTTCAGTGTGAAAAATAAAAATTAACTACGTGCCGAAATTTGACTCCGGGTGAGAGAGTTAATTTTAACACCGGAATATTTAACCCCTCACACCAGAGACAGTAACACCAATTTTTTTTTACCGTGTGGGTTTCATAATTTTTCGTTGATCAGAAGGGATCCCATTCTAGTTGGGCTAAAACCATCACGTCATGACGTAATTTCTCCAACGTTGTATAATACGAATATCGAATTCAATATTACAAATGTTGCGGAAGCCTGTCACACTTTTTACTGAGTTTGTCATCTCATTCGTCTATTCTCACGGCATAGAGGCGCGAAAACGTGCCGTCGGAGTAGTATAAGAAACCAGAGGATGGCTAGCAACTATAACAATGAATCAAAAGCAATTAAATAGAGGATAAGAAGCCTTCCTTCATGAGTTCTGACCTATTACTCAAAGAACAAAATTTTCTCCTTTCAGATATGGAATTCCTGGAAGTACTAACCGAGGGCTTGGAAAAAGTTCTCATGGTGCATGGATGCGGTCGCGAAGTTATCACAATGTACTCGTGAAGTGAGCCACCAAGCCCAAAATGTCGTACCGAAAAAATACGCCATAAAATGTCTAGTTTACTTTATTTCTATCTACGATGCAAATTTTCGCATCTAGCTGTGCAACTCTCGTGCCATCGATGGGCAGTAACGTGAATTTTTATAAAATTTGCGCCCCAGTACGACCTCGTATTCTGGTTATTACATAAGAAGAAAAAATCCTCGAGCTCGTTATCCATAACAGAAATGACTCTCTTGGTGGAAAAGTGAGAAAACCAGTGGTGAAAAAAGATAATGAGAGAGAAAATGGAGAAATTCGATTGAAGCTTACTTACCTTCCGGCCTCGTGACGTCTGGATGAGCCTTGATTATGCCAAAGTTACGTGCCAAGGATAAGTTTCCTTTGAATGGATTTCGATCCTGTGTCACATATGTACGAAAAGTTTTTAGCCAAAACTATTCGTTAGACGTCACGAGATAAAACATAAAAATGCTCCATTAATCGAGTCTCAGGCTAATACTTTTGCTAATTAGATTCAAATTCGACGTGTCGTTAGCGTTCCTTCGATACGCCGTCCGAATAACATGACAAGAATAAAAAAATCGTAAAACTAATTCAAAGTGGTCAGATAGGTTAGACCGGTCGACCGTAACCTCATCGTGCAGATTTTGGTTGATATCTCTGAATCCGATTGAATATCAGAATCTTCATGAAGATCTTTTCTGCGGAGAAGAACAATGTCTACAAGAAAGTCTCCATGAAAGTTTTCTATCCCACTTGAATCCCGAAATATCGCTTGATCTGTTTTCAAGTGAAATTGACATAACCTATTTGATAACTTGACCACTCGTTATCCCATGTTTACCTCTCATCTCTTTATAAAAACGATAAAACTCCCATCGAGACATAAAATCAAAATTTTTGGTCAGCGGATAGGGTCGAAGCATCATGGAAAAACACTGCCAGAAAAATTTCCACCTGCTTCGATGTTTAACCTAATGACAAATCTTAGAGGCTCATTTTTCTACATGCATTGTCGTTAATGAATTATATTACGAAATTAATAGGTGTGTGTAACAATCGTTTCACCTGCTTGTTAGATAAAGAAAAATAAACAATTAGAAAGTTTTGAGGGTATGAAGTACATTAGGTAGTGAAATTCTTAGTGAGCTAGAGGTTTGATTCGTATTGAAATAGTTAGTCTCATCGTCAAGTGGGATGAAATCCTTAATATTTCTATTGCTCAGTAGGATCGATTATTTGTTTCATCGAAGTTTCTATTACAATTTTATTTTTTTGTGCTGTCGAATTTAGATTTAAGTTGTTAACTGTCGTTTTATCACACTTGACCGTTGGTATCATACTGACATAATGAATTTTCTTTACCGACTGACTCTGGCGACTCTCTCAATAGTTACAACTCCCGTTAATGATATTTTCACAGAAGTATCAATTTCTTAGATCTCACAGTCGTATTGATACTGTCCAAGGCCTACTGGTCGTATCGAGAATGAGCTTTCGATTGATAATACGAAAGGTATTGATTATTTAGGAGGTATTGTGGACAGATTCAGGAGGAGATTTGTCGTCAGTGGTGAAATTGGATTATCTTCGCGTTTACAATGAAAAAATAACTAAATGATTGATTGAACATCGTGAGATTGTAAGAAAATAAGATAAAATTGATTATCAATTTTTTTATATTTTCGCGGACAAAATCTTGCGAATAGATTTAAAAAGGATGAATTTATCTCTTTATGTTGACAAGATGCAAGAGTTTAAAGTTTTAACAAAATAAGTGATAAATTTCATTGAATGAGGAACCGAATTGAGTGTCACAAATTCGTGATCATGTGAGACTTTAACCTATTGCACAGCCAAAGCCATGCCGCGCTGCTGTTGGCAGCGAGTGGGGGGCCCTCGGTGTGACGGTGCCCCATAAGGAAAACCCGGTGGCGTATGCACCTTGATACAAAAGGGCAAAGTGAGGGGAAATGTTTGACTGTGGAACAGGTTAACGAAAAAAATAGCCCCAAATCTCTTCAACAATGCCACCACTAGATAGGCACTATTAGTAACGATCAAGTCTTTTTAACAACAGATTAAACAAAACAATTCTAAGAAACGATGAAATAAAGAGTAAAATAAAATCTATGAATAAAGTTTCATTGATTCATTGAAGATTATAGGTAATCCCGTCTACTTAATCGGTGTCTGTGAAAAGAATTAATTAGTGAAAAAATTAACAAGTAATTCAATAGGTTCTTGACACTCTGAACAACCTCCAAAGATTAAACTATAAAATTTAGAGAATTGAATGATTAAAAGATGATTAAAAATTATTGGAGAAGGAGGGAGAAGCACGTGTGTGATGTGTGTAAACCTGAATTAGGTGACAAACTTCTAAAAAACTATATGAAAAATAATTGATTAAATTCTATGTGAACTCATCCTGGTCGATGTAAAGTGCACAGACTATTCAGCAATAGTAGCTAGGAACTTGAAAGTACGTTATTATGATACAAAAATGAAGAAATCATGAAGAAAAAATTTTAACGACATATTATTATCAAGATTGACGAGTTTATTCATAAATTGAAAGAGTGATGATTTATCAGAGAAACGGTTGACGTTGATTACAAAATATGGTGCGTATTAATTAGCTAAATATATGTGGACGCCCGCATGAAAAGGGACCACTTTGTCGATATGGAGTTATGTATACTCTGATAATATTTATAACATTCCGCACAGTTTGAGCCTAAAATGATCCTCATAGGGTGAAAAATGCCGTCGCCGGAGCAGATGAAAAAAACACTTTAACATGAGTGTAAATGGGAGTTGCTGAGACAAAAACGTGAATATCTCGGAAACTAGAATCGACAAAGTGGTCCCTTTTCATGTGGACGTCCACATATGTGGATACATCTGATTTATTATTTTTTGCGCGCAACAGAACTATTCTAAATCGATGACTCCTGAAGGAAACTACGTATCTCAGAAACCATTTCCAACCTCAAGTATCTCACGAATATTGACTGAAATTTTGTATCTTAGAGGAGTTGACAGAAACTAAGTATCTCAGAGAAAAATCAAAAATACGTAACTCAGTAGCTTCAATTAAATACCCTCCAATTCGCTCGATGCCTTTATCATCTTTATTTTAATCCCTCGGCTAGAGTTCCTCCGGATATTTTTATATACTTCTTTGTTTGGGGAATATTTCGTACCTATCGTCAGTTGTTAGAAAACCAAACCTCTTATAGCTTTGCGAATATTCAATCACTTTAGAAATTGGTAAATTGTTATCATCTAATTTTTTTTAACATTAATTTTTTATATAGTTGGGTATTGAAGGGGTCGGTGAATCATTTTGAAACTAGGGAAGGGTGCACCTGTACCGCTCAGCAGGCAATACCGACCACCCGATTTTCTCTGAGGGGAATTCTGAGGGGAATTAGACGTCTACACTTCGAGAATAATGAGTTCAAGAGTCAAAGAAGTACATAAAAATATTTTTTCCACTCAAGTTGAAATGGAAAATGTAAAACTGGCATTTCCCCTTAGGTGGGCGGTATAGGCATACCCTCCCCTACTCATTCATTTTATCCAATTGGTTGTTTGCCACTCTATTCATTAATATCTATGAGAAATTTTCCAATTATCGATATTAGTTGTTCGGCATTAGCCTTCTGTATAAGTGGGTAACTGGGGATCAGCTAAAGCTAGTCCTTGAAAGATTGCTAGGTTAGATTCACAGAAAGCATGAGCGATTTCTTCAAGCAACAAGAACAACTGCAACAATTTGGGAGCAAAGGATTGGCAGCTCTAAATTTTATTCATAGGTTACTAACGAAACTAAATGAAGATTAATCAGAGCTCCTAAGTTACGTGTTTCTGAATTTTCACTGAGATACTTGATTTCTGTCATCTCCTCTGAGATAGTAAGTTTCAATCAATCCTCGTGAGATACTTGAGTTTAGAACGAAATCTTGAGATACGTGGTTTTGGAAATGTCTCCTCAGTTTCCTTTAGGAGCATCGAAATTCTCTAAGAATCATAAATTTCCTCATTGGTCAAAAAAAAAACTTAATTATTGTTAATTACTTTTTAAGAAGCACTGTTAGACGTTAAATCAAAAATCATTGATTTCCCACTATTTTTGAATATAATTTACTGCCCATTTTAATTTTAATGAGCATTCAAGTCCGAACAAACATAACCTAAAAACCTAAAAATTCACTTTAGATTCATAAAGTGGATTTTTTCGCAGTGAATTCATCTCCATTCGAAGAAGAGAGCTATGAACTAATCAACAATTAATATAAAATTCGTGTTTCAATAATCGAAACAACTTGTACTCAACTTCACTGCTGCATCGCAAAACAAAAAACGAATGAAAATGAAAAAATAATCCGAGATTGAAATAAACTATGAACAACAAAGTATTTAACGCAGAGCTGGTATAGATAAAAAATATCTATATATACTTTTAAAAAATTAAATATATATATAGAATTATGAATAATTAAATTCTATCGTCCAAAGTGTTGCGATTTATATTTTATAATTTTACTACATTAATTACTTACCGATTATATATTTTATGAGTACTTACCTATTTAATAGGCATCGGCACTGCATAGTTTATACGTGAAATGTTGAAGAAAAATATTATATTAAAAAAGAAACATTCGTGAGAGAAAGATAACGTTTATTGTGGAAATGCTGTTTCAACTGAGTTGCTAACACGTTGTATATACAAACAGTGAACAAGAAAACAAAATAGATAGTTTAAAAAAAAGAACAAAAAAAACATGAAATTTTTTTTTCCATCACTCAAGACAGTATTGCTAAGTATTGTGAGTATTGCTTGAATTTTTTTTTCGGCGCGCCATCAATTTTTTTTTTTTTCGTACATTCTCAATGCACAATTGCATAGAGGCATGCAATACTGACATTAATTTTTATGTGTACTATATGTTATTGGAGGGAATGGTGAGATTTATTACATTTTCAAGTGAAAAAATTTGGGTAGTGTATGAAAAATGGGTTACTAATCTCTCTTTAGTCCGTTGAAACGTGTTTTTGGGCTATGGGAAAATGTTGAGATCAGTGAGAAAAGCTGAACTTTTTCAAATGTACGAAAATTTGTCTTTTGCGATCCCTACCTGAAAAGTGTACTTTCCAAAACGGTTTAGTGTGCTTAGAGTGGTTGTTTTCCGCACGACGTGCGTAAAGTTCCCGAGCGTGCGTGATAGCATATTGTGATACGAGTGCATAATAGTATATTATGCCACGAGGCGATAAAAGTATTATCTCGCCTTCGGCTCGGATTATAATCCACATTCGCCACATAATGCTTTTATCGCCGGGTGGCATACAGTATTTTATGTCGTTGGGCCCGAAAACCGCGATCTAACCGAGCGAAGCAAGGTTAGAATCGCGGTTTTCTCGGGCCCAACGACAGAGAAGTTTTTTTTGTGATACCTGCCTGAAAAGTTCACTTTTCGAACCCGTTTAGTGTGCAAAAAGAGCTTATTTCATGCATGGCGTGTGTAAAGTGCAGAGGTCGTGCGTAAAGTAAATTTTCGTGCGTAAAGCTTCGCTTTACGCACTCAAAGTTCGCTTTACGTACGACCTTGAACTTTACGCACTACGTGCACAAAGCAACCGCTAATAACGCATCCTATTTTACGCACGCTCATGAACTTTATGTACGCCGTGCGGAAAACAACGGCTTTACGTACACTAAACCGTTTGGAAATGTGCACTTTTGAGGCAGGTATCACAAAAAATACTTTTACTCTCGAATCGAAATATACTATTTCATCACTAGTGAGTAAAATTAATTTTTACGCACGGTCTGCCTGCGCAAAATCCCACTTCCCACACATTGTGACAAAAAATAGGGTTCGACACTCGTGGGAAAAATAGCGAGGTTATAATTTCGTTTTATCAGATCTAGTGACAAAAATATTTTCAATGTCCCTAGGACCGATAAATCGCGAATTGCGGTTTTCACTCCTTGCAACAGAAAATATACGTCACAGGGCAATACACTCCTTTATCTTCGTGATAAACTCACATTCGTCGAAGAACACTTTATGAGACTAGCGATAAATCGAGTGTTAACA